TTTGAATTCTGGATTTAACAGGAAGCCAAAACAGGAGAAATCTGCTCTCTCTTTCTAGTCCCTGTCAGTATATTAATATAGCACGTAAGTTAGTACCCTAATATGGAGAATATGATCCGTCATGCTCTGTCCTCTCTGAGTGGTTTTGGAAAAAACACAAAAAAGGAAATTAGAAGCAACAAATGCATGGCTCTGAGACAGCGTGTGTCCAATTTTAAAAATATTGTGCAGATGAAAGAGAATCGTGCCATCCAGGGCAGGGTTGTGGTTACAAACTGAAATTAAAACAAGTTTTCGTTAGTTAGAAAATTCCAAACCTTTGTCTTTTAGACCTGCAGGTAGTTTAATTTCATATAAATGGAAATGCATATAATAATAGTGAAGGACTGTTTTCTTCTTAATTTACAGCGTTGGCAGAAAAGTTTGCAGACATTTTCTTCCTGGTGGACAGTGGCATCAGTCAAACAGATTTCCAGCAGGTCAGAAACATCCTGGTCCGACTGGTCAATCAACTCAACATTGGAGCTTCTGGCTACCGTCTCGGACTGGCCCAGTACAGTAAAGATACCAAAGTAGAGTTTCTCCTTAATGCTTTCCAAACCAAAGAGCAGGCGCTCGCTGGTGTAAAGTCCTTCCGCCTGAGCCGACTTCAGCCCAATCAGCCACGCTACCTGGGCAGAGCACTGGAGTACGCCAGCTCTCATTTCTTCACGAATGAATCAGGAAGTCGGGCATCCCAAGGCTTCCGACAGTTTCTGGTTGTTCTAAGTGGAAAAGACTCAGATGATCCCATTTTTAAGCAGACACGTCTGATCAAATCACTAGGCGTAACTATCGTGGGAGTGAGCTTCGGTGCATCAATGGACGAAATGCGTGTAATAGCCACGAAGCCGTACGTGTACGAGTCTACCTTCAACGCAGTGCCTACGCTAAAGACCGTTTTTGAAAGAGAGGAAGAGGAGATCACTCTCACTCAAGGTGAAAAGTCTTTACTTTCATTATTGTTGTCATCAGTCATAAAATCAACTCCTGTGCATCTTTGAAAAAAGTGTTTTACAAAGGTTATTCACAAAAGAACAGTCACGTAAATTACCTGTTTTATTACCTTTAATCTTGATGATAAACGCCAGCCAGCATGCTGTGGCGAGAACATCTGATATGTCTTCATGCTTCCATAT